ATTTTTGAAGAAATTTAGCTATTTTTGGCTATTTATTTTGGCATCCACTGCTATAAATGACCACTCAGAGTTGGCAACACTGTTTGAGACAGATTAGAGAGACCTCGAAACTACAGCAAGCTCTGATCATCGGTCTCGCCGGGCAAGTGCAAAGGGGTCAAACGGTGAATTTTCAAACACCCCTCACAAAGAGACACTGTAGCATCGTTAGAGCATAGATCACGTGTGCTGGCTGGCTAAAAAAAAGGCGAAAGCCGCCTTTAAAACGAGGTCCCAAGCTTTGTCACGTGCAGTCACGCACACAAGAACTTAATACATAGTATACAAAAAACGCACTGCATTCGACGCAAGCAATGTCGGGATTCATAATTTGGAAGTCAACCCGTTTTTTTTTATTTGAAATCACTTTGAAGGCGATTTCCAGTGCGACATTGCTCATATCATGGTTAAATTCCAATCCATCCAAGACATGATTGTGTGCTTTCTCGCACATTTTTTAAAGTTACAGCCCTTCAAATTTGGTACTCATTTTTTCTACTAGATCTCCAGGCAATTTGTATAATAAATCGAGCACGGCGTTATAGTGCCACATTTATTTTCGCAGTCTAGTAAAACTGTGTCTTCATCTAGCAATTCAATTATCTTAAATTGATCTTTAAGTTTCTGTTCAAACTTGACTTAATGACGCTCTTCACTTTTTGAACTTTAGAAATTTTACTCTTATTGTCGTCAAACCTACGATTGGCTTAACGTACATTACCACCTATACTTTCCTTATCTTTTTTTTTTTTACATATTTTCTGTCTACTTCTTCTTCGCTTATTGGCGTCCGAAAGATCAAGCCTTAGTGTAGCTCGATTCTTTGGGAAGAAAAAAAAATTCACCAAAGCCCTAGTTTGCTAGTTACTGCCCTTTTAAAAGCCGCGGGATGACTGCAAAGCATTTGGTGTTACCATGTCTTTGTATTTTTCTGTGTAGAATTCCTTTCCTAACTTGGAGTATTTGTCGAAATTGTCTGGAAACTCATTATTTTTTTAACCTAGAAGATATCTTTGCTCCCTCAGGAAAACGATGTTGCTCGGAAACAGCCAGTGTTCCAATTGGACTCCTTTTTATACCCATGCAGAGCAAAGGGTATTATAATTTCAGTCAGAATTTTACAACGCAATAAAGGAGACACCTCAGACCACATTAAGTATATACAATATTCTTGATCAGCATCACGATCAGAATCCAAATACGTCTGTACGTCTGTCCGTTTGTTCGTCTGTCTGTTTCTCTTGAAACTAGTCTCTCAGTTTTAAAGCTATCTTGCTGAAACTTTCCCAAAAGGTGTGTAGTTGTTGCACGCAGTATATAAGTCGGAACGCGCCGACTATATCGGATAGCTCCCATACAAGAGATTGAAATAATAAATTCTAACGCCGTTGTTTTTGATCAGATCGACTTGATTTCTTCCAGTTGGCGTTTTCTAACTACTATTGAATTTCGGATTAAATTTTATCAAAGTCGAATAACTCTATCATACCTATATAAATGGAAAAAAAAAATTGTAACGTCGTTCTTTTTTATTCTACGAGCATGATTTTTACACCAGCGCCTTGAACCGAGGAAAAAATTTCATAAAAATCGGACAACTATGTCATATAGCTGCCATAGGAAAGTTTTCGATCTTTATAGAATTAACGGAAATAAAATGATAACATCGTTGATTTTCATAAGACAATCATGTTTTTTGAAACAGAGTTTTTTAACGACTCTTGAATATCGAATTGATTTTCATCAAAATCGGACGACTTTAGCATATAGCTGCCATATCAAGAATAGTCGAAAATATGAAAAATGAATAGAAAAGTCGTCATAGCTTCGATGCTCTTTAGCCTTTATCAGGAAGGCTCCGGTTTTCCTTTATTTTTCGTTTTCGTTTTTGGGCGGAAACGTACGTTTTCGTTTAAGGTGCTCCGGTTTTGACAAACTTTTTGTCATCGTTTTGTTATCGGAATGGTTTTGATTTCATCCTGGAGCGTTGACTTATGCTTCCCCCTGAAAACAATAGCTTTGCATTTAATTTTAAATACATAAATTAAGTTGTCTTACTTACATTTTCAAAAGTTCAAATAAGCCTCCATCAGATATCAGCTGTTTCCCACAATAACGGGCTGCCACCTTTTTTGCAGTTTTCGTTCCACTATTCTTAACAACTTTTTTACTGCACTTTTACCTTTTTAGAAAGGAAATTAATCATATTTATTTATAAAAAGCTTAAAACTTTTCTTTACAAATATTCTTTTCTTCGTTTTCATTTTATAAGTATTTTTAAGTGGTTGTTTTGTTCCACTACAAGTACAGCAGCATTGACGATAACTTTTGGCAATAGATTTATCGACCCCTTAGCAAAACTAAAGTTGGTGTTGCCGACGGCAAATATTTTATTTGTGAATCATGATGGGGTCAGAAAAAAATTATTTAACAAATAAATACGAATTAGACTGATCTACTGATGGTGTGAAATGAACATCAATAGACCAAGGAGTCAACTATTTTTTTCCTTTTGCAATTAAGAACCGATTTCATGTAGAAAAAGGCATTTACTTTTCATTTTGACAAAAAAACTTGCCCGTTTTTGAAAACGAAAAAATCTTGTGAAAGTGAAAACGGGAGCACCAATTCTCGTTTTTGAAAACGGAAACAAGAGAATCTTGTGAAAGTGAAAACCGGAGCCTGCCTGTATGTATTTTGTTCGACATATTTGATGACTGCAAGGGTATATAAGCTTCGGCTTGCCGGAGCTAGCTTCCTTCTTGTTTATATTTGAGATCAAAAGTTAACGCCTGCAGAAAGCCTCTTACCCTTGGGGATAGGTCCAACTTTGTGAGAATTTCAGTCCAAATATATGCCAAATTTAGTCCCTCTATATATTGACAAAAATAGAATGATAGAATGACAATTGCTAAAGTCTCAAGCTCGTACGAATATTTAACAACATGTGGCTTTTTATGTAGCAACTAGAGGTCCTGTGTCCGCTTCGCTGGTCAACACAATTTACCAACATAATAGTCAATGTTCCAACATTTTCAAATATATGGAAGTATAGAAAGATGGTGATTTAACACTTTTCCAGTTTGACTTTTCCACTTGCGCAGCACAATCCAGCCGTTTCTCTTTTAAACTTTAACGCACTGCAATCTAAATTTTCATTATCACTGTAGTTCGCAGTGGGGTCATATTGGAATGCCAAGCGATTGAATGATGTCAATGATCTTCATGAGCTCATTTGTCTTTCTTCGCTTAAGTTTTGTGAATATACTTGTTGCTGGCTTGGATGTCTGCGGCCAATGTTTGCACGTCGTCCTCTAAGCATTTTGGACTATGGACAGAGTGGTGAATTTATCCTCAATATCCTTACATAATTTTCACAGTTCAACTTAAATTGAATAAAAATTCTTTTTTTTTTCGCAATTTCACAGTGAACACAATACCCGTTTGTCCATGAAATTAACTGAGCAGAGAACACTAAGTTTGCATAATATGTGAAAAAACTTAATTCACTTGGAAATGATAAATGAAAACTTCAAAAATTGAGTTAAAATGCTATGGTAGCGTGTTTGTCAGTGTGTTGAGGTAGCAACTCACTTTATATGCGACAATATTGCAATTTTCTTACTGTCCCTAATTTTTTTCAAAACAAATTATAGCCTACTTTACTCCACCATAATGTAGCTTTCTATCGGTGAAAGAATTTGTTAAATCGGACCAGTAGTTCCGGAACCTATTCGCTGCAAACAAACAAACAAACAAATTTTACCTCTTTATAATATTAGTATAGATATAGCCTCATAGAGAAATGAACTGGCATCTGGGTTTAGTTCTATCAAATATTGAGGGTAAAACATAGTTAGTTTTATCAAATATTGAGGGTAAAACATAGTTAGCACTGGTTCCTGGCTAAGTGGAGTGGTTTTTATGTCTCAGATATTTTTTGGCACTAACTGCCTTAAATATGAGGCAATCTCTTTGAGATGCCTCAATTGCGTAACGCTTTTTGGAGGTGATAGATAGTCAACGCTTGAGTTTCACGTGCATATGAACGAACTTTTCCGTTACTAATAAGATTCTCCATGCCAATTTTAAGAAAGATTAGTTATTTTAAATTTCTTAGTTTTAGCCGCAATGAAATCATCTTCGATGTATGTATGGTGTATGTGTATGCAAGTTTACCAAATGCGTTTAATATAGCACGCTGAAAAAAAAGACGGGAAATTTGTTTACCAAAAGGCATGGTCAAGAATTCACGACAGAAGCTGTACGCTCAATTAAATCCGGAGGTACCGGTATTTGTTATAAACCGCTTGCAATATCGATACATGCGAAAAACCTTGCCCATCACAATTTGGTTATGTGGTCAGAAATAGGAGGCAATGGGTATTCGTCTGCAGCTGTATTCTCATACAAAGAAGCGTAATCCACAGAAAGACAAAAGCACAGCGCAAGCTGTTCAGTTCCCAAGAAACATCAGAATCCTAAGAATTTATCCCTTTAATGTGTAGTAAGCTCAACTGCACAGTATGTCAGTGCCCACAAAACAATTGTACTAGCTCTGCGACACATGTATACGTTAAGGGAATATGAATTGTGTGATTTCGAAATAAACCTTGTTATCAGGTGAAAAAGTCAAAGAACCGAGAACCTGTTTAAGATCCTCTCAATATTAAAACGAAAGAAAAGCCAATAATTTGTGTTTCATTGAGTACAGTTTTGGAGCTCTAGAATGTTTACGTGCTTAACTCAACATTTGGTCCACCATACACCCATTTCACAGATCCAAGTTTTTTTTAAATTGTTTTGCTTACCGTTTTTTTCTATTAGATTTGCTACTGCATTTTTAGTTCTGACTAGTAAATGCATAATCTATATTTGAGAACTTTATAATAATGTTTGTAACAAATTTTAATATAAAAATGATGGTGTAATCGACTTTAACGAATTTTAATAATACTTACTTCATATCGACCATGAGAAATAACAGATACTCTTCGCTGTGATATGGTAACATGTTTTATATGTGTAAACTGGTAGTGACCGGATTCATGAATACTTGACAGTAACAAGAAACTACTTCCATCCGAAGAAAACACAGGGTGAGGAAAAATATCCAACCATTCATTTTCTGGTGCTCGTTCAGAGTGGATCTTAAATATAAAATATTTTTAATTATCGTCAATTTTAAAAAGTATAACTTACTTCAAAGCAACTCCAGTCGCGCAGTTTTGAACACATTGAGATCACACTGTAGTTTTGAGATCTTCCCATATAAACTACCGATACTTGTTGATTTGTATCAGATATCCAACCTGCTGATGTGAGATAATAGTCCCTGATAAATAAATAAACAAAATAATCAATTTTTTACTTATACATGATTAATGAAGTATTCATTTAATACTTACTGTCCATCAAGAGAGGCAGGCGGCTTTAATTGAAATTTTTGTATAGCGCTCAAATTAGTAATGTCAACAGCCCACAACTGGACTTCTGGATTGGCAGTGCCTGGAGTAGGATATCTTACATTTTTGGTTTCTGGGAAGAAATTTCGAGAAAGCAATCCACTTCCAGAAAAAAGTGCTCCGGACGACAAACAGGGGTAAGTCATCATACCAACATTGGTATCGTTAAATAATGCGAACAAAAAATGTGTGCCATCAGAGGAAGACCAAATCGCCTCTGGAGAACCAAAGATTTCTTCTAAAATGAAAAAAAGATTTTATTGGATTTTAATTCTCTTTTACAAAAGTTAAACACTTTAGATCGACGCCTCCTTGCGTAGCATTTTGTAAATTTGGTCAAAAATGGTAACGCAATAAAAAAGACGTTTTCAAACCTACAATGTATTGATTATCATTGACTTGGTCCGTCTTAAAATATATCAAAAAAGTTAGCAAATCAAAGTTTTTTTGTCTACACTCATAAACAACATCGAAGCTAAGACGATTTTTCTATTAATTTTCCATATTTACGACTATTGTTTATATGGCGGCTATATAATATAGTTGTCCAACATTGGTAAAATTTAATTCGTAATTCACGAGCCGTTAGAAAACTACATATTCCAAAATCCATGCTTGACTGATGAAAATGTTGTTATAATTTTTTTTTCGTTATTTCTATCGTTTTAATAAAATTTTCTTGATTCAAGGATTATTAAATCCATACTCCATAATCCATAATCCATATTAAAAACAACGATGTCGTTGGAAAATGCCATATTGAAGAAATCAATAATAAAAACAATGGCGTGAGAATTTTTTTTTCAAACTCTCGTATGGGAGCTAGCCTATATAGTCGCCCGATCCGGCTCTTTCCGACTTGTACACTGCTTGCTTTTGGGTTGCTTGCTATCAGCAAGATAGATTTAAAACTGAGAGACTAGTTTAAAGACAAACAGGCAGACGAACAGACGTATTTCGATTCAAATCGTTATGCTGATCAAGAATATGTATACTTTATGGGGTCTGAGCTGTCTCCTTTACTGCGTTGCAAACGTCTGACCTAAATAATAACACCCTTTGCTCTGCAAGGGTATTATAAAAAGAAAATTCAAATTCTAAAGGTATTTTTTATATTGTTTCCTATTATTAGATTTTCGGTTTTTATTGAAAACTTTTTTAATATATATATTTCTCTTTCAACGATCTATATGATATAGTCATCTGATTTTTATGAAATTTTATTCGAAATTTAAGTGATTTTAAAAAGAAGAAGAAATCATTTTAATATGATAAAAAACAACAGCGTAACAATTTGTTTCGCGTTTTTCGATCTACCTTTGTGACTTATATACATATGTACTGCGTGCAATAACTACACAACTTTTTGTAAAGTCTCTTCAAGATAGTTTAAAACTGAGAACCTAGTTTATAAAGAAACAGTCAGACGTACACGTCTATATCGATTCAGATGGTGATGCTGATCAAGAATAAGTACGAGGGTGGTCCCAGAAGTACCCGTCTTGACAAAGAAAACAATAGGAAAATTAAGAAAATAATTTTTATTTTTCAACGTAGTCTCCTTTTAACCCGACACACTTTTCCCAACGAAGCTCAAAAGCTCGCAAATAAGAGTCGACCGTTTTTCATCTTGTGCTCTCGGTGCGAGCACAACCGAAAAAGTTCATACCCTCTCGCTCTCGCTCTGAGCAAGAGACCCTTGCTGTCATGGTACAATTATACAAGGTAGTCTCGTCCATGGTACAATTATACAAGGTAGTCTCGTCGGCAAAAAGCACTCCGCTATTACATACTCACAACAAGTGCGAGTGAGAGGAGTCTGCGTAGTAAGTGCGAGTGAAACGACAATAGAGCTTGTTGTTTAACCCTTAGATGGTGCATGGGGTTTAAATTGCTTATTTTTATTAAAAAGAAGTTGAAGTTTTTTATAAATTAATTTTTAATAGTTTTGAAATTGAAATAAAGCGTTGTTTTTGTTTTTGGATAGCAATTTTTTTCTTTAGGTTCTTAATTTAAAAAAAATGTCACTCTTAAAGTAAAATTTGTTTATACCTAAATTAATGTTTCTTAGCGACAATTAATAGTTTCCCCTTTACATTTTTTTTTATACTTAACTAATCTGAAACTACATGTAAAAAACAAAAAAAAAGTTTGCATCCAAGGGCAGAACGACATCTTTGCATAAGGGTTAATACTCTGAAAAAAATCGTCCGCACCCATCCTCTTTCTTCAACAAGCACGAACGCACTGACTTGAGCTGGGAAACAATCGATGGCACTATCGAGGGATCGAATTTTTGCCCTTCTGAGCCCCCATCGATAATTTTTTGACACTATCGTTGGTGCTGGGCATTTTTTTCATTACTGACACCAGTGTTGCCAGTTTAGCTTATTATAAGCTAGTTCTAGCATATTTGAAACTAGAAAAGCTTGAAAAATTTTCATCTAGCTTATAGCTTGAAAAATAGCTTATTTTAAGATTCATCTAGTATATTTTAGATTTTTATATATTTTCGACATCCACGGGATGTTTTGTACGAAAAATATGTTTTATGGCATGAAATATCGGAGTTTGTTCTTTTTTTTTGCCAATGGTTATGTGCATTTAATGTGATGTGCGTGGTTACGCAAAGTGTCAGGAGAAGGAACCAAAGCATATGGTTACTACTGTAAGTCGACAATATCAGCCAAAATCTTTGAAATCAGGCAGCATGCGGCATCGAAAAAGCACACTTCAGCAATGGGATCAGTTGCTGAAACGCAAAAAAATACATTTTCCGGCTAAGTGTTTCAAGACTCAGGATCAGGAAGCAGCGCTTTGTTTGTTCATTGCCGAACACTCGGCGATATTGCCAGTGGACCAATTGTCGCGGTTGTGCACAACTAAATTTAAAGAATGAAGTGCAGCGACTCAAATTCAATTGGGGCGTACGAAATGCACGCAAATAACACTGTGCGACAAAAAAATGTTTAAGTTGATTTTTTCTTATTTTTCACTTCTACTAATCAAAATAAGATTATAAGTTTCTGGATTTGTTAATATCAATAGCCAATCAGCTTTTACGCACACTCAAATGTCCCAAAAACGCGCGTTTTTGCATATTTCACAGCCTTATAATCACATATTGGGAAAATATTTTTTCACCGTTACAAGCGTTCATGCAAGTTCAATATCTATTAATTAAAATGTATTAAGCAAATATACCGTTAGGCTTTTATCACAATGCTTTAAAATTTTTTTTCCCCAGCTCTATACTCGGGGCGACTACGTATGGAACTTGTTACGCGAGGATACGTCTGAAAAAGCCAAAAAAATCAGGGGAAAAAATTCACTTTTAAGAAAATAATAGTTTATTGAAAGTAAAAAAAAAATAATATTTTGTGTTAATTATTTTCATAATAATAATTTCATAAAATTTACCATGAAAAAAAGAAATTGTATCACTTAAAAGGTGGCATAGATATTTTTGTGCATAATTTATGCACCTTAATCGAAAACAATCAAAAAAGTAACTTAAACAAAGATTTTGTTAAATTTTGTCGCACAGTGTAATCAATAAAGACCTTATCATAAATATAGCCCCCAATGATTGTTGCCATCCACATAAAAACATAATAATGTTTCGTGTTTTCTCTCATTTGGGTGTAGCTTGTTTTTTTAGCATTTTTTTAAAAATTTTTAAGCTTATTCTAGCTTATTTTTTATAAAAATCTAGCTTATACGGGCGCTCATCACCTGGCAACACTGTCTGACACTAACACAAAATATGAGGTTTGGTTGCAAGATTTGCAAGAGAAATGAAAAAAATTAATGATTATAATTTAAAAAATTTCGTTCCAAAATTTCTGTGTTCCCGCAACCTCAAAAGAGTCAAAGCGTATGTTCAGCAAAGTTGGATTTATTATAAGTAACCGGGGTTTCGCTTAAGGCGAATAATGCAGACATTTTACTATTTCAACAAAGCAATGCATGAATACAACATTTTTTTTTAATTCATATAAAAATGACTTTAATTTTGTTGATATTTGTTGAAATATCTTATGTTTTATGTTGATGATATGATCGAATAATTTTGACCTTTTTATTTCTGTTTGTAGTAATTTATACAGCACTAAAAACCTTAATATGAAAAAAATTAAATAAATATGCAAAATGCTATCGATACTATCGAATTTTCGCTATGAAAATATCGAAAATATCGAATGGCGCGACCATCGATAGTTTCCCAGCTCTAGCACTGACTAAAAGCCGAACGATTAGGCAGCCGAAGAGACTACTTTGTATAGTTTTACCATGGTCTCGTCCATGGTACACCCCGGGTGGTGGGGTGCACCCTTGTATACCTAAACTTATTATAAATCGTTAATACACAAATCGTAAGTGAAAGGACGGTTAGGGGAACATCTAATAGACTTCATCGTCAACTTCAGAATCAGAATGGCTTATATGAAAATTCAACACTATCAAATGATTTTTATTGACATAGCTTTGACATATCTAGCAGTTTATAATGCCTTTTTTTGAAATCTTTGTTGAGATTTTAAAAATCCGCAGAAGTTATAACCGTTCCTTAACTTTTGCTCGACAACTGGAAAAACACCGTCTTCCACTCTCAGTAAGGTTTGTGCTAAAGTTCCATACGTTTGATGTATATAGGGCCAAGTAAACATAATTTTATATAGGATTTTATTTCATATGGCCTTGTTCTCCGGAAACTGCAGAATTTGTCAAAAATATCCAGGCATATCATATGATATCTTTCATCAAAAAGTCATTACCACTAATATCTTTAACATAGATTCTTATGCCGATTAGATATCGAGCAGTATCAAGTCAATGAGAAGTATAGATACAGAGTAATCTGCAATGAACAAACGAATCCTAAAGGACAAAAATAAGTACAACAGCTAATGCTACTTTTAGTTATGAAAAACTTTTTCTAATAAAAACGACCAACATTCTCGATCAGTGGCCAAACACCTCGTCTACGGACAAATATATCACCTACCAACATAAAAGTTGCAAAGGATTACAAATAGTTATCAAAGCTGAAGAAAAGGGCTTTAATGTCAAACAGGCTAGGAAACAGCTAAAAACAAAGTTCCACAGCCAATGTTCAAGGAAAATATGGCGCCGAAGAGTGTGCATTTAGAAAACAATAAAGTTCACCCAATCTTTAAGCTTCAATATCTATTGCACAGACGAAGCACGAGTAACACAGAAAAGTCACAAAAATGG